ACAGGACAGACATACAACAAATATTGGGTGGATGGATAGATAACTAGGCATACATTCATACATTTTGAACAAATACATATAAAGGCATTTATTTATATGTGTAAATAATAATAACCATAATAATGTCAAATACTCTGTGCCAGGCACTGTTCTAAATGCTTAGCATATATTAACACACTGAATTCTCACAATACTGATTTAAGTTACTGTTATTTCCATTAGTATCTCCACTTTACATTTGAGAAAAGTGAGTCATAACAAGGTTAATCAACTTGCCTGAGATCATGCAGCCAATAAGTGGCTTGGATTTGAGGCCATGTGGTATGACTCCCAAGTCTGTGCTCTTATCCACTGCACTGTACTTCTCATTAGCATAACATATTCATTATCATAATTCTATATCTACATATTTATGACCACTTGAGTTGGGGAAGATAGAGTAGGAAAAGTGATACTTGAATGAAATATAAAGACTATTGGTGAAAAATGCCAGTTTAATCACTTCAGTATAATCCTGTTGTGCTAATCTCAAGTACAACCAGTTAAACCATACCTGGGTTAACCTATATGTGAAGAGAAAGTAAAAAGCCTGATTAGTAGCATACCTAAGTCCTATTAAAGGCTGTCTTGCCATGGATTTCAGTCCCGGACAAGTTCACTATGGATTCAGTGTGACCAAAGAAATGACAGTAGAACATTCTTGGGGTGAAAGGGTTATACCCAACTTAATTTCCACGGTGGCAGGTCAATGACTAAAATCCCGGTCACTCAGAGCAAGTCTGTATGCAGCAAGCCCGTCTCTGCCTCTGGGCCCCTCTGTCTGCACAGCCGTCCTCTGGGCATATCCATCCCAGTCCCTGTCCTCGGCAGCTGCCACCACTCCAGCCTCTGCTCTACTCTCCTGCAACCTTGCAGCTGTGCCACCATGTCACCCAGAGCACTGGGCAGGGCTCTTTACATAGAGTCAATAACAACATATTGCCCACATGTGTGTAGTGAGCTAGCCAACCAGGACCAGATGAGAATATTGGCCACAGGAATCTTCATTTTATCCACAAGGCTCAGTTTATTTGTATTTCTTTGTCAGTCTCAGGGTTTCCTCAAATGTCTTTGAGAGAAAAATGGGATTAGACCACTCCCACTGAATATACATAGATTTACACCCATACTGCCTCAGTTAGATAAAGATATTCAATTTGTCAATGGCTAGAAAATGTAAAACAATGAGTACAATGTATATGCACTGGCTGGTGTTAATCATTAACATTGCTTTACTCAGGTGAAAGCCAGTACTTAGATTGCACTTCCTAGTGCCCTTTGGGCATATAGAAAGGAGCGACTTGACAATAAAAACTGTGTTATGGAGAGTGTAGAATACACCAGAATTTTTTTTTTTAAAGATTTAACTTAGTTCATTGTGTTTTTAGTCATAAGAAGTTTTCGATTTCTACGTAGTCAAATCAGTTTCTTTCTGACTCAAGGATTTTGTCAAACCTACAAAGGCCTTCCTTAGCAAGAAGCTGTAAAGATACTCTCTTATTTACGTCTAATACTTTTCAATTTTGTTTTTTAATATAAACAATTTTTTGTATATTGTGAAGGTGTAATGATTTTTTTTCAAATTGTTAGCAAATTTTCCTAACACTTTTTATTAAATAGACTATACTTTATTTTCACAAAATCTACTTATATTACACAGTATTTTGTATTTTTACTTACTGACGCACCTTCTGCATTTTGCTATAAACCCAGCATCTTGGCCATCAGTCTATTTTCTTGCCTTTGTTCAAACACTGAACAGAATACATGATCCCCATTTTTATGGACTTGGAAGCAGTCACCTCTGAAAGGGTATCTCGCCGACCCTCCTTACCCAGAATGACTCAGGAAACACGGGCCTATGCAAGAGACTTTATTATCTGAAGGAGAGAGTGGCTGCCTCAGAAGGGGGTTGGGAGAGAGGGGGAGGGGAGGAGGAGGTATCTTCATTTTATCCACAAGGCTCAGTTTATTTGTATTTCTTTGTCAGTCTCAGGGTTTCCTCAAATGTCTTTGAGAGAAAAATGGGATTAGACCACTCCCACTGAATATACATAGATTTACACCCATACTGCCTCAGTTAGATAAAGATATTCAATTTGTCAATGGCTAGAAAATGTAAAACAATGAGTACAATGTATATGCACTGGCTGGTGTTAATCATTAACATTGCTTTACTCAGGTGAAAGCCAGTACTTAGATTGCACTTCCTAGTGCCCTTTGGGCATATAGAAAGGAGCGACTTGACAATAAAAACTGTGTTATGGAGAGTGTAGAATACACCAGAATTTTTTTTTTTAAAGATTTAACTTAGTTCATTGTGTTTTTAGTCATAAGAAGTTTTCGATTTCTACGTAGTCAAATCAGTTTCTTTCTGACTCAAGGATTTTGTCAAACCTACAAAGGCCTTCCTTAGCAAGAAGCTGTAAAGATACTCTCTTATTTACGTCTAATACTTTTCAATTTTGTTTTTTAATATAAACAATTTTTTGTATATTGTGAAGGTGTAATGATTTTTTTTCAAATTGTTAGCAAATTTTCCTAACACTTTTTATTAAATAGACTATACTTTATTTTCACAAAATCTACTTATATTACACAGTATTTTGTATTTTTACTTACTGACGCACCTTCTGCATTTTGCTATAAACCCAGCATCTTGGCCATCAGTCTATTTTCTTGCCTTTGTTCAAACACTGAACAGAATACATGATCCCCATTTTTATGGACTTGGAAGCAGTCACCTCTGAAAGGGTATCTCGCCGACCCTCCTTACCCAGAATGACTCAGGAAACACGGGCCTATGCAAGAGACTTTATTATCTGAAGGAGAGAGTGGCTGCCTCAGAAGGGGGTTGGGAGAGAGGGGGAGGGGAGGAGGAGGGAGAGGGAGAGGGGGGACAGAGAGACAGAGACAAAGAGAGAGGGAAAAAGCAGCGTAGTGCAGAGGTTGTGACTTTTATTGTGGCGGATCCCCACCCCCCACCTGTTGCCTTGTGGGAGGGTCAGGATGTTTATAGAGAAGGCGGGGTAAACCCAGCAAGCCGCAGGCAAGCCCAGGCATAATTCTCACCGGTTTACGTGCTTGGCACCATGGGGCAAATGGAAGATGAATTACTATTTTCTTACAATCTCTAGTAAATTGCAATCTTTGAAACAGTATTTTTAGTTGTTCTAACTAACTGCTGGTCTTACTTTTTTTGTAAATGCTCTTTCAAAAGTCATACTTTTAAACTTTGGGATGTAGAAATGTAATTATTTTTCATATTGATTTCATAACAGTAACCTTGCTTATTCTACTGATTTTTCTGTACATCCTTTTAAGTTTCCTTTATTGACAGTCAATCATCTGTGAATAATAGCATTATTGTTGTTTCTTCATTTCCAATTGAAAGGAAAGGAGCGACACATAGCAGCAATTCACCAGAGTTCCGCTTTATTAGGGAAAGGTGCTGGGTTATATAGGAAGGGGCATGAATTGATTGAGGTGTCACTTCTACAGGGCTGGTGGCTGGTGGCTAGGTGCTGGGATTGGGAGGGGGGCGAGAGGTGATTGGGCTTCAGGTGGCGCCGGCGGGAACTGAGGACCCCGAAGAGAAGCCGGAAGTTTGCCATCTTACTGGTGGGGACCCTTCACCAATCCTTAGATCTTTGTTTCTTTTCCTTGTCTTAACCAAGAGGCTGGAACCTCAAGTACAATGCTTAATAGAAAGCACCATAGTGAGCAAGCATCCTTCTCTTGTCTCCACTTCTTTAAAGGGGAATGCTTTTAATGTCTCATCATTACATGTAATGTTTGCTGTGGATTTTTTGCTTTCTTTGCATACGCCATTTATCAGATTAGAAAGTACCCTTCTGATCTGGTTTATTAAGTGTTTTGCCTTTTCTTTTAACTACAAATGGGTTTTTAAATTAGAACCTTTTCTGAATTGATTTTGATAAGATTTTTTACCTTCAATTTATTAGTTTAGTGAATTGCATTATATATTTTTCTATTGTTGAACCAATCTTGCAAGCTGGATAAACTCAACCTGGTAATGATATAGTCTGTTTTTAACACTGCTCAATTGGGGTGCTAATACTTCTCATTTAGGATTTTTATATCTATGTTCATGAGTGAGATTGGCCTGTATTTTACCTTTTGTAATGTGCTTGGTAGTCTTTAGTATCAATGATATAAAATGAGATGGACAGTGCTGTTCTACTTCTTCCATCCTTGGACGAATTTGAGTAAAAGTGGAATTATCTGTTCCATGAATGTTTGGTAGAATTCACTGGTAAAACCAGAAGTGCTTGATGTTTTCTTTCTAGGGAAATTTTTAATTACTGATTCAAATTATTTAATACTTAATAGTAATATTGAGGTTATCTTTTTCCTTTTTTATGTAATTTTGTTAATTTATACTTAAGTTGGAATTTTCCACTTGGTCTACATTTTCCAGTTTATTGACATAAAATTATTCATAACCATCCCTATTATCTTTCTAATCTTTGTGATGATGGCCCCAAGTTTTTGTTCCTAATACTGTTTATCTGTTTCTTTCTTTCAGTCTGACTGGAGGTGTCTTTAGTTTATTATTTCAAAGAACTAGTTACTAGCTTTGTTGATCAGACTGTGTACTTTCTTTGTTTTCAGTTTTTTTACATTCTACTCATATCCTTATTATTTCCTTTTTTCAGCCCTCCTTGGGTCTTTTCTGTGTATTTTCCCCTATGTTTAAATTTATCTTTTAAGGATCTAAAGTTATACATTTTCCTAGTCATTTATTTTGTGCATTAAACAAAAATTGGCAATCATTATTTTCAAAAGTGAAGAAAAGGATGTCATTCTGACATCTGAATTGCTACTGTCAACTGTGACTAAATGCAGAGTTCTCACCATGACAGACAACATGACTTTTTCTGTACATGAGAAAATCATACTTACCAATGTTGTTTTAATGTCATCTTATTTTCATATAGGATTCGCCTTTATTTGATCTTATTAAACAAGCAAAGGACCGAGAAGGACCAGCTGATCACCTTGAATCTGCTTGTACTCTCAACCTTCCTTTACAGAATAATCACACTGCAGCAGATATGTAAGTAGAATATATGTTTTATTACCCATTCAACTGCAAATAGATTTTGAGCAAAGTATGATTCCAGATGGTATTTAGAAACTGTAGGGAGTAGAATTTTGCATAAGACATTGTTCCTCCTTTCAAGAAGTGGGAATATAAGATAACATGATCCATATAAATGTCATATAAAGTGGTAGAAGTACTACTAAAATCACTCTGGCTTGGTATAAAGAGAGCAGTTTTCATGGCAGAGATGGCAATTTCATAGGCCTTAAAGGTGCAATAGGATTTCAATGGAACTGGAGAGTTGGGAGGAGACAGAAGAGTGTTTCAAGTCAGAATTACATGAACCCCAAAGCCTAACAGCCAGGAAGGCAGAAACATTTTTCAGGGATTGCAGATCAATGCATATGGAGTGAAACATAGGATAGGTACAGGGAGTTGTGTGGGACATGAGACTGAAATGGCTGATCAGTGCATGGTGATGGCAGTGGGAGATGAAAGCAATAGCTAGCATTTTCTGAGGGCTCACTGCATGCCTGAGCACTTCAGAATCTCTTTTTTTTCATTTAATCTTCATAACAGCCTTGTTAGGTAGTAGATACTGCTGATTATATAGCCTCAGTCATCTATAAAGTAGGAATTAGAGGCAACTTGCCAAAAAGTCAACAGAAATCAAACCCAAGCAATCTGACCCCAAAGCCCATGCTCTTAAGCATTCTAGCTATACTGCCTTTCATAGAAATGTGCCTAATATATGTTTCTGCTTAGTTCTATGTAGGAATTGGCATTTTAGTATTCTGTGATTCATGTAGAGACTGTTTTCCAGAGATGTAATTTCTATGCTGACTTGTACCCAAAGTATTCCTAGTATATGGAACCTTTGTCTTCATGCATGAATTTGTTTGCTAGGTTATACATTGATTTAAATAAGTGAAGCCTTATATTTTTCTTTAATTCACTAAGCAGTTGTCTGTTAAGTGCCAGGAAGTGTTCTAGGCATTGAGAATACAAAGGCGAGTAAGATGAATTAGATTCTTCCCCTCATAGAGATTACTTTCTAGAGGAAGGAGACAGTGAAAAATAAACCAATACATGAGGTGATTTTAGAGTATAGTAAGTTCTGTAATGGAAGTGATGTAATGTAACCAAGTGATGTGAAAGAGAAAAACTGAGAGGGTGATAGAATGTTTAGGGAAGCCTTCTCTGATGAAGTGATACTTGACCTTAGATCTCCAGGGCACATGGATGCTGGCCAGGAAAAAATCCAGATGTGCATTCCAGGCAGAGCAAATAGCAAGTACGGTGCTCCTGGGGCAGATCAGACTTAGCTGGTGTGAAGAACAGAAAGAAATCCCGGTGTGGCTGATGTAAAGTAAGCAAAAGTGTTACATGACAAGGTTGGAGAGTCAAATTGGGACCAGACCTTAAAGGTTCCATAGGGAATATGAAGGGCTTTGGATTTTGGAAGGACAGTGGGTAGCATTAATATTTTAAGCAGGGGTGTGGCTTACTAAAATTTATATTTTTACAGGGCCACTTTCTGGCTGCTATTTGAAGTGTAGGTGGGGTATGAGGTGGGAAAGGAATAAGGCAAGGTAAAAAAGGAAGACTACTTGGGAGACGGTTTCAGTGCTCCAACTGAGATAATCACATCACTTGGTCTAAGATTTATCTATAGAAGGAGAAAGAAATGGAAAGATCTGGGATGTGTTTTAGAGGGATTAGTTTTGCTTTGAGTTGGAGGAATTGGAAAAAATTAAAAATAACTCCTAGGTTTTTGAGACTAGATGCACTGTGGAGTCGTTTATTGAGATCGGAAAAACACAGGGAAGAAATCAAGAGCTCATCCTTGCCCTTCTTTAGTCTGAGATTCATGGAGTGATGTTGATAGGCAATTAAATATTTTGCACCTAGAGCTCAAGGAAGACTAACTTCTCCCCAAGTTAAGTCAGTCTAAGATATCATATATAAATGAATGGAGGGAAATCCAAGGTTTATAGTAGACTAGATCCTGGTACTTATGAAATCATTGTGATGAATATTCCTTTTTCCTAGTGTACTAGTTAATATTCTACATGTAGTAGAAACATCCATGGTAAGGTGTAAATCTTATTTCCTGCTAAGAATTATTTCTCAGTTACTAAAACAAAATTAGAAAATAGAACTGAATTATCCTATAAAATAAAGGGCAACACAGGATTAGGACATCAGAAATTGAGAGGTAATATTTATTAATATATCTACCTTGATTTATGTCTGACATATTTAGTATACTGGTATAAATCTGCCTTGGTAATCTTACCTGAAGTACGAATTCATAGAATTCTGTACTATATAGTTCAGTTGTGTTTGTATATGTAACTTAAGGTTTATCATATGTATGAACCATTGTTATCAATTAAACGTTTTAAAGAGGAGAATCAGAAATGTGACAAAACTATTTTGGTACAATAACTCGTTATTTTAAGCTGGAGTCATTTTATCTCAGTCCCACTATAATTATTAAAATTGAACATATATACATATGCATTTTTTTTCAACATGACAGTAATTCCCAGGAAAAGCCACTTATTAAAATGGAGTTAGAAATGGTAATGACAAGTGTAGAATAACAGACTAAATAGACAAGATGTGTTTGGATGCATCTGTCCAGCTGTGTGTGTGCATGCATGTGCATGTTTTTGTGTGAAAGAGATTCTTAGCAAATTTTAAATGAAGATTTTTCCTTTGAATGTATCTACATATCTTTCTCCTGTAAGATCCCCAAAGAAAAAAGGGTCAACTACTCATGTAAATTCCACTGCAAATGCAGAGGCACAAGCAACTTCACCCTTCCAGAACCAGAAGCCATCAAAATCTACCTCCCTTTCACTCTTTTACAAAAAAGGTTAGTAGATGACTACTTTCAAGAGCATGGACTCTGAAGCCAGGCTGACTGACTTCAAATCATGTCTCTTCTGCTGACTAGGTGTGACTTTGGGCAAGTCACTTAATATCTCTATGCCTTGGTTTGCTCATCTGTAAAATAGAAATGATAATCTACCTTATAGGGTTTTTGAACTAATTAAATGATTTAATACATAGAGTGCTCCAACAGTGCCCAGCACATAGTAAACACTCAGTGTTAGATATTTTTATTGTTACTGCGGCTACTGTTGTTATGCTTTCAAATTTATGTTTGAAAATATTTGCTGCTGACTTCACTTATGCTGCTCAGTTGTGTTTGCAGAATTGAGATAATACAGTGTGCTAAGATCTAGTGCAGGCACATTTCCTGACAACCAGGTTGTATAGCATATATGCATATGTGGTGGGGCAGGGAGGTTGGTTCATGTGTCCATGTGTGTGTAAGTGCACACCCACTTGAAGGAAAGTGAAAGGGAAGATTCCTCTGTGATAAATCTTTTTTCTGATTTTAATGACATCAGAAATATACTGAGTTTTGTATATTTGTAAGAAAGCCCTCAAGTTAGAGCAGTGGTTCCAAAGTATGGTCCCCAACCAGAAGAGTCCGTCTTACCTGGGAAGCTATAGAGAGGAGAATTTTTGTGTGGGCCCTACTATAGAACTACTCAATCCAAAACTCATGGATGAGGTGAGGCAAAAAAAAAAAAAAATTCTTGTTTTAACAAGCCCTCCAGGCAAGTCTGATGCACAGTAAGTTTGAAAACTACTGGAATAAATTGTTAACTAAAATATTCTGACTACATTATGTAAGTCTTTAATGGGCACATTTAACCCAAGGGTTCGTTATATTTAAAGTCTTCCACACTTTTATTCCACTAGTGTTTGTTTTAATAGATTCTAAATAAATTTCATTATCACAGTCATATTTACCACTTAGGTAATCTGCAATTCTGGTATTTTCCAACAGAGCATGCTCCATTGGTATTTTATGGGGAAATACACTATTTGTTTTTTGTTTTTTGGATTGGAAAAATTTAATAGGCATTGCTAATTCTATTATTTTAGAAACAATTATCCCTCTTGTATACTGATAGTAAGAATTCCCAACATCTGTAATGAGTGATTACTAGTGGAACTTAAAACAAATCCTGTTTGGTTTGTCTAATTTCACAATACCTTGTGATCTTTCTTCTTCTACCTTCTACCTTTGCCTCAGTTTCATACAATAATAATTAATTGAGGAAGTATTATCTTGCCTTTTACATACGTAGCCATTTGCTAAGATTAAGAATCATTTATTCATATGGAAAATAGTGGTAGAGGTGAGGTTACCATTGAAATGCAGTTTAACAGCATTGTGATTATAGCAATTTGACATTTTGAAAAGATCTTGTATTCAAAAATGAATAGTAAACATGACTAATTCCCCTTACCTCTCCAGTGTACCGACTAGCATATCTTCGACTAAATACCCTATGTGCACGCCTTCTGTCTGACCACCCAGAACTAGAACACGTTATCTGGACCCTTTTCCAGCATACACTGCAAAATGAGTATGAACTCATGAGAGATAGGCATTTGGACCAGGTAAGAAAATAAGGCAGCTCATCTTCTCTTCTCCTGTATATTTGTTAACTATGTACTGGTTTCTTAAGAAAAGATTAGATTCAAATGAGAAGCTAGATCAACTTAGTAGATTTAATATGTATTCAGTTGTTGGCAACTTTTTATATTTTTTGTTGCAATTCTTACAGATTAAAGTTTTAGAACCTGAGAGTATTTCAATAACTTGACTTGTCTAATGACGTGAAAGATCTTAACTGCAAAAATCACTGAAGAAACCGTTTGTCATTGGCTTTTTCTGTGTTCTGGTAAACTAGATTTCATGTTAGTATGAAAAAAGCGTAAGACTTAAGAACCAGCTGATCTAAATAATTCCTATTGAATGAATGGAGCAAAAAGTAATGAACAAATGAATGAGTTAATTAATTTACAGAGAACTCTTCTATCTTCCCTTTTCTTCTCTGTAAATGAGATAATAAGAATTTTTTTGGTAACAGCTTTATTGCAATGTAATTCATACACTGTACAAATTACCCATTTAAAGTGTACAATCCAGTAGTTTTTAGTATATTCACAAAGTTGTACGACCATCACCAAAATTAATTTTAAAACATTTTCATCATGCCAAAAAGAAACCCCATATCCTTTAGCCTCACCTCTTTCTTCCCCCATCCCCTCCATCCCCTCCATCTCCCACCCCCTCCATCCCAGGCAACCCTAGTCTACTTTCTGTCTGTATAGATTTGCCTATTCTGGACATTTTATAAATGGAATCATATAATATGTTATTTTTATATCTGGCTTCTTTCATTTAGTACAATGTTTTTGTTGTTAATCTGTGTTTATAGCTTATATCAGTACTTCATTCTTTTTTATTCCAATTAATATTCCATTGCATGGATATACCACATCATATTTATTCAATAGTTGATGCACATTTGGTTTCCATTTTTTGGCTATTCTGAATAATGTTGCTATGAACATTCATTACAAGTTGTCTGAATGTATTCCCAATTTGCTTGGGTATATACATAGGAGTGGAATTGCTGGGTCATATGGTAGCTGTATGTTTAACCTTTTGAACACTGGCCAGATTGTTTTCCAGTATGGCTACACCATTTCACATTATTACCAGCAGTTAGAGGTTCTGATTTCTCCACATCCTCACCAACTTCTAATTTTCCTTTCTGATTAAAACCATTCTAGTGTGTGTGAGGTGGTAGCTCTTTATGGTTTTGATTTGCATTTCTCTGATGGCTGTGATACTGATCGAGAATCTTTTCATGTGCTTATTGACCATTTGTATATCTCTGTTGGAGAAATATCCATTAAGATCCTTTGCCTATTTTGCAATTGGGTTATCTTTTTTATTATTTCTATATTCTACACACAGTCCTTTATCAGATATTAAATAAAATTGAAAAATAAAAATATATATTTGCAAATATTTTCTCTCATTCTATGAGCTTTTTACTATCTTGATGCATGTCCTTAGAAGCACAAAAGTTTTTAATTTTGATGATGTTTAATTTACATATTTTTTCTATTATTGCTGGTGCTTTTGGTATCAAATCTAAGAAACCATTGCCAGATCAGAGGTGATGAAAATTTATCCATTTTCCTCTAATAGTTTTATACTTTTATTTCTTATATTTAGATGTTGATCCATTTTGAGTTAATTTTTGTATATAGATTGAAGGAGTCTAACTTCATTCTTTTGTATGGGAATACTAGTTGTTCCAGCACAACTTGAAAAGTCTTTTCTTTCCCCATTGACAGTTGTAAAAAATCATTTAACTGTAAATATGTAAATGTTTATTTCTGGTTTCTTAATTCTATTCCATTGTTCTATATTTCTCTTTTTATACCTGTGCCTCACTGTCTTGATTGCTGTATCTTTCCAGTTAAGTTTTGAAATAGGAAAGTGTGAGTGCTCCAGTTTTGCTCCTTTTTCAAGATTGGTTGGACTATTCTGAAACTTGCATTTCCATATGAAGTTTAGGATCAGCTTGTCAATTTCTACAAAGAAGTCAGCTGGGATTTTGATAGGATTTGCTTTGAATTTACAGATCAACTTGAGGAGTACTATCATCTTAACAATATTTCTTCCAATCCATGAACATGTGACATCCTTTCATTTATTTCGATATTTAATTTCTTTCAACAATGTTTTCTAGTCTTCAGAGTAAAAGTCTTACACTTGTTATGTTAAATTTATGCCTAAGTATTTTATTCTTTTTAACACTATTGTAAATGGAATTTTTTTCCTTAATTTCTTTTGTAGATTTTTCATTACATGATATAAAAATATAATTGATTTTTATGTATTGATCTTGTATCCTGCAACCTTGCTGAAGTTGTTTATCAATTCTAATAGTTTTTTAGTGGATTCCAAAGATTTTTTTTTTTTTTTTTTTT